AGCGGGGGGGGGGACTAATGCGGACGGCCATGCGGACACACGTTATACGCAGAGACACACAACGTAACATGCAAATGCAAATACACACACACACACATGTAAACACAGCAGGATTCTTTTCTTTGATATTGTTCCACAGTAGCGGGCGGGGGCTGGTGTGGGGGCTGGTATGGTCGGGGGGGGTGATGTCTGATAATGGTGGCGGTGGTGTTGGGATATGGTAGTAGGGGTAGTTATCCTTTCAGGTGCCGTACTTAGGCCCACATTAGAAAACACCTGCCAATTGCTTCAAGCCCGCCCCGTCCTCCTCCTCCCCATCGCCTCCGCCCCGTCCTCCTCCTTCCCTTCTCCTCCTCCTCCTACCACTGCTTACGTGCAGCTCACCATTACTGATTTAGGCTCCCAACAGCTATCGGACCTAAGCCCCACAACGTACCGATGCGGTGCACCTAGCTTTTCTTCAACAGCTTGGAAATACGCTGTTTGGAAGCCATCCGACAAGACAACCGACCGAATTGAGTCCCAGCCTCCTTGTCAAATCAGCTCCTCCCCCAACCCACCGAACTTCTCTCTTTCCCCCCATTCCCCCTGCTTCAATCGTCAGTGGTTCGCCTTATCCCCCTAATTCCCCCTGATCCAACCCCTTAACCAACCTCATCCCCAACCCCCTTTTTGTTCCTCCACAGTCTGGTTCGTGGGCCAAGGCTTTGTCCGTGCCGACCTGCGCAACGAATCCCCCGAGCAGCGGGAGGAGCGCCAGTGGGCGGAGAAGCAGCTGCGAGCAGAGCGCATCAAGAACCTCCGTTTGGGGATCAACGAGCCGCTCGAAGTGACGATGGAGCGGGTGGCCACGTTGCATCAGCAGCTGAGGGTGGCGCCGGCGGTCCGTGCGAATGAGGCGGCAGTGGCGGAGGCGCGGAGGCGGCACGCCGTGGCGTCGGAGTCTGTACGGCTGACGAACGAGCGGCGGATGGCGGAGGCGACGGCGTCGTACCAGGCGGCGGTGGAGGCGATACGGCAGCGAAACCAGGCCAAGGTAATGGGGAGCGGTATTTTGGGAGGGGAGGGGAGGGGAGGGGGGGAAAAAGGGGAAGTTGGCGTGTTTGGGTTTTATTCGGGGGCTGGGGGTGATATATAGGAGAAGTAAGGGGGGGCGTTTTACCTTTTTGGCATCCCTCTGTGTTACAAGCTTCATGAGTTTTGCCTACGCCCCTTACGAGCCAAGAGGCTCATTGAGCAGCCGCAACCGCATTCACTAACTGCCAACTGTCAACTAACCGCAGGTGGATGCTGCCCGTGAGGCTTTCCTTCAAGCTCATGCTGATTGGGAGCGGGACTATTTGGAGCGACTGCAGGTTCGTGTTTGTGTCCGTGTGTGTGTGTGTGTATTGGGGGGGGGGTAAGAGGGGGAAAAGGGGGGGTGTTTGGAATGGTGAAGGAGGGGGTTCAGGTGGTCCATTCCATTGGAGCATCGGGACGTGTATTGCGTGTGTATTGTGTATGTGAGTGCGTACGTGTGTGCGCGTTACAAAGTGAGTCATTTGAGGTGATTTCCTACCTTAGGCCCTCGTTGCAACAGCTGATCGCTTTTTGATCAGTTTTTCGCACTTGTTATTTCCCCAGATATCATAGCTTCGTAGCTTCGTTGTAGGTTTAAAAGGTTGATAGGCTCATAGGTATCTTCATGATTAATACCAAGTACTAAGTACATGCGACATTTTCTCTTATAAAAGGCCTTGTCACGCCTAGAGCCAGTGTACGACTGCCGTACTACGTGCGCGCGGATGTCCTCCCCCGTTTTTTCCAGGACTGGGAGGATGCCAAGGCCACCCTGGAGCGACAGCGATCCGAACAGCTCGCCGCCACCCGCGGCTCGCCGTACAGCACTCCCGGCAAGCCGCCCCTGCCGTTTGTCTCAATGATCAGCGGCGGCGGCGGTATCGGCTCGCGGCCCACCTCCGCTACCGCCTACGCGGCGCTGCCAAAGAACAAGGAGGGTAGCGGCCTAATTAGGATTGCCTATGAGCCGTCAGAGCAACGGGCGGCGTGTGCCGCCGCGGAGTACGACGCCGCCATGGGGTTGGAACGCCTGGCGGAAAAGCTGTCGTCGCCGCTGCACACGCCGCCGGGGTCCAGGCCGGTGTCGGCGCTCTCCTCGGGCGCCGTGTACGGCAGCGGCTCACGGCCGGTGAGCGGCCTCAAAGCGGCTGCGTCTGGCGGCGGCAGCGGAGGGGGATCACGGCCGGTAAGCAGCGTCAAGCCGCCCTTGCCGTCTGGTGGCGCTGGCGGCGGCGGCGGCTCGCGGCCAGCCAGCGGCGCCGCTGCCGGCGCTGGCGGCGGCGACGGGTCAATGGAGACTGGGGGCGGCGCATCGGAGTACTTGGAGGCTATTACGGAAGACCTGGCGGAGGCGTCGGCGCCGCTAGATGCCTTGTACGGCACTGGCGGCGCTGGCGCGGCTGCCGCCGGCTCGAGGATCAGCTCCACCGACGTCCTCGACGACGACGGCTTGGATGTACGACCATCTAGGGGACGCAGCGGCGGGCGTGACCAGGACAGCGCTGTCGGCGGCTCGGCGTCGGCGCCGCCGCCGCTGCCGCTATCGCTGGCGTCATCATCCGCAGCGAGCGCGGCGCCGTCGCCGCGGCCAGTCAGCGCCCGCGGCGCGAGTGCCGGCAACAGCGCCAGGGTGACGTCAGCGCGTTCGTCGGCAGGGCGGAAGACGACAGGCCTCGGGATGCTGCCTGAGGGGGCGCCGCTACCCCCGGAGGGGCCGCCGCCGCTGCCGGAGCCGTCAGCGCCGCTGCAGCCGCTGCGCGGCGAAAAGAGCGACGAATTCAAGGTTGGTGTTTGCAAGGGCTCTCGCGGTTGGTAGTTGTAGTGGTTGTGGGCCCTCCCTATTCCCAGAAGCTGTGTGCCTCTCCTCTTGTGCCAGTGTCCTCTAGTTCCAGAGCTATAGGGGCCCCTCACTGCCTTGGGAACCGTTTCGTGTCAAACCCCGGGTTTTGCTTCTTTGTTCACCCCCCCTCCCTGTCTACCTTTCCCCCTTTTCCCCCTTCCCCTTTCCCGCCCTCCCCATTTCCTTTCCCCTCCCTGCAGCGCCGTTACCTGCCCCCTGAGGTGGTTGCGGAACGGGACGCCAGCAACGCCTCACGGTTGGACGATATACGGCAGCAGTGGGAGTCCCTGGTGGCAGCGGACTTGGCGGCCAATGACGGCCGCAAGCTGGCGGCCATGCGGCGAAATGCGGTAAAGGTGGAGGAGTACAAGAAGGCCGTGTACGAGGCGTACGCCAGTGGACTTGTACGGGACGTGGTGTACGGCGGGGCTGTACGGGTGGCGGCTAATCTGGCGCTCCTGGTGGGGGAGGGTAAAGGGTGATGGAGGTGGAGTGGTGGGGTAGTGAGAGGAGGAGGAGGAGGAGGAGGGTTCGAAAGCAGCTAGAAGGGGAGTTGGGTGGGAAGGACTGAAACTCCTTGGAATGCCCATCATCATGTCGTCCACCACCCCGCTCGGCCGCCCCGTCCCCACTAATCCCTGCTCCCCCTCCCCCTCCTCCTCCTCCCCCTCCTTCCCCCCTTTCCTCCTCCTCATTATCATCATCATGCTGGTGCTCCTCCTCCCCCTCCTGTTGCTGCTGCGTCACAAGGACAACGCCGAGGCGCGCTACCTGGCCGAAGTGGACCGCATCAATGCGGAGAACGCCCGTCTGCGGCAGCTGCACGCGGAGGAGGTGGAGGAGAAGAGGGCCAAGGAGGAGGCGCACGGACAGGTATGTGGCGTGGCGGGGGGGGGGGAAAGGGGGCATAGGGTTTTGGGGGATACCGAGAGAGAGGCGCGCAGCAGGTTGCTGCTGTAATGTCGTCGTTGTTGATCTTTTTCTTCTTTTTACAACTTTTTCCCCTTGTCCTTTTTCTCTTTTGGAAATGCTGAAACGTTGGCAACCCCCAAAGTTGGCAACACCCTCCCCTTGGCTTCTTGCATCATGCACACAGCTCATTCTCCCCGCAACCTTCTATTCCCTCCAAACGGCTCCTTTCCCCCTGCTCCCTTCCTTGTCCGGCCCCCCCCCCGCCGCACCCCTCCCGAAGGCTGTCCGGCGGTGGCAGGAGGCCCGAGAGGTGGCTCTGCGGCAGCACGAGGCGGACCGGGAGAGGGCCCGGGCGGAGCATGAGGCCAACATCAACCGGCTGAAAGCGGAGTGGAGAGCCAAGACGCAGCAGGTGGGGGGAGGGGGGGAGGGAGGGAGGGGGTGAAGGGAAGGGGGTGAAGGGAAAGGAAGGGAGGGAGGAGTTGCTTTCCTGTGCGGCGCTCACACACCCCTCCGGCTTTTCTTTTTCCTCCTCGTTGTTGTTTTCACGTCATATGGGATTTGGGTCCTGAGTGTCGCTCTCCTCCCCCCCCCTCACTCTTCCTCTTCTGTCTCATTCTGTTCCCCTCATGTTGAACCCCATATTTTCGTTGCACCCGCATCCTCCCCCTCCCCCCCACACACATATACACACACGGGCATCTCCCTCCTTCCCCCTCTCCTCCCCCTCTCCTCCCCCTCCAGACATTGGAGCTGAACGACGCCCGGCTGACAGAGGCTGAGTCCATGCACGAGGCGCTGGTGGAGCAGGTGAAGGAGACCAACAAGCGGCACAAGGAGGAGCACACGGAACTGCTCAGACAGCGGAAAGAGGTGGAGGCGACAAACTTGAGCAGGCTGGTGGGTTAGCGGGGCAAGTTTGCGGGGTATGCGGGGGTATGCGGGGAGAGCGGGCGAGGGGTTGTGATATAGGAGGGGGTGGAGGGTTTGGCCGGCCCGTCGCGTAAGGTCTTGTGACCAACACCCCACCTCTCCCTTGTCCTTTCAACCCTAACCCAGCACCCGGCGCGCCCCTCCTCGTTTTTCCCTCCTCTTTTCCCCTCCTCGTTTCCCCTCCTCTTTTCCCCTCCTCTTTTCCCCTCCTCTTTTCCCCTCCTCGTTTCCCCTCCTCTTTTCCCCTCCTCTTTTCCCTCTGCCCGTGTGCCAGTTTTACCTGCGTGCCGCCCTTGTGCTGTGTCTTGTGCTGTTGACTCAGCATGGGTGCTGAAACACCCATTCTCTCCTGCTCCCCCTGGGTTTTCCCCCTGGCCCCGGACATCCACCCCACCGCTACTCCCCCACCCGAACTCCCCAGGCTGAGGCCAAGGCGGTTCACAAGGTCCGGTTGGAATCCCGAAGTGCCGACAACGAGCGCCTCATCCGCAACGCCATGGAGGAGCACCAGGTGGGGATGTGGGTCTGCCAGTGATCTGATTCTTAGCGATTCGTTTTCACTCCCTCTCCTTCCCAAACCCCCCATCTAACCCTACGTGTCCCCGTCTTCTTTTGTCGCCCCTCTGTATCCCCCGTCTTTTCCGCTCCTTCCCGCCAGGCCCTATGTGTACGGCTCCAAGAGGAGTACGAGGAGGGCAAGCAGCAGGCGGAGGTAGATCACTCGGAGCTGTGCACCTTCCTCAGGGCGGCCAACGAGCAGCTGACGGAGGAGGCGAGGAGGCGCTACCAGGAGGCGCTGACGGAGGTGCAGGTACGGAAGGGGAGGGGGGGAGCGGGCGGGGTTTGGGGGAGGGAAGGGGACGGTGGTTAAGGGGCTTGGGGGATCAGGGGACTCACGCTCTCTCATTCGCCCTCGCATACACTCCCCACTCCAACACTTCTCCCCCGTACACACTTCCGCGTTCTTACCTCGGTATTCTCATTTCCCTGCACACGGTCGTACTGTCGTACAGGCTGCCTACGAGGCGGACTGTGTATCGGCTCGTGAGGCTCACTCGCGCGACCTGGAGCGCGTCAAGAGGTACAACCAGGAGATCTGGCCAAAGGTGCATGTGGCTAGACTGGCACAGGTGGGAGTTGGGGGTTGGGGGGGGTGGGGGGGGTGGGGGTGGGGGGGGGTCGTGGGGTAGGGTGGGGATGTAGGGTAGGGTGGGGGTGGGGTAGGGTGGGGGTGTGGGGGGGAGGAAGTTGGCGACGGGGATGGAAGAAAGGATGTGGTGATGGTGGGGGGAGAGGGATGCAGTACGGTTTTACGGTGGTACGTGTTACCTCGGGGGAGGTCGCCGGAGGAGGTGTCAGTTATGTCAGTTGTGTTTCCGTTAATGACCTTCCTGGCCACGTCGTCCTCTTAACAAACACCACCACTCACTACCCGTTCCCTGCCCCCCACCTGCACCTGCACTGCTCACGCACACAGGCTGAGTTGGCTCGTGTGCAGCTGTTTGCCGAACACATCCGTTACTGCGCCAACAAGTTCGAGATGGGTGTCAACTTCGTACCCAACACACCCAACTACGATCGAGTAGTCGAAATGCAGGTGGGATTGACTTCCTGTCTGTCCATCTGTCTGTCTGTCTGCCTGCCTGCCTGGGTAGATTGGTGGCGTATAACCCCCCCCAAACCCCTCCACACAGCCCCCCGTCCAACCCCCCGTCCCACCCCCCCTCCAACCCACCACCACCACAGCGAAACGCAGCCCTTGGCAATTGAATCCAATCCATTGCCTCTGGTGCACACCGCTCCCTCCCTTGTGCCTTAGCTTCCTGCATATGATGATTCCTCCCTCCCCCCCTCTTCCCCTCCTGGACTTACCCGTTTTTGTTATGGGCTCCATTCGCCAGTGGTTCGTTTTACCCTTTCCCCTCCTTCCTTCTCACCCCCTTCCCCTTCCCCTCACCCTTATTCCTCACCCCCCTCACCCCCTCACCTCTACACCCCCTCACCCCCTTCCCCTTCCCCTCCCCCCTCCCCTCTCCCCCTCTCCCCTCTTCCCCCCTCACCCCCTCCTTTTCACCCCCTCCTTTTCACCCCTCCACCCCCCTTCCCCTCACCCCCACTCCTCAGGCGCTCACGGAGGCCCTGGCGAAGGCCTTCCCGGACGTCCCGACCAACCAGCTGCCCTGGCCCGAGCACGAGAAGAGACTGGAACCCGGCACCGGCTGGGTGGCCTCGCCGCCCGCCCGCAGCCTGACGTACCGGGACCCCATGGACATCATCAACAGAATTGCGCGGGTGGGTATCCAAGGGGGGGGGGTGAGGTGTGTGTGGGGGGGGAAGTGAGTGTTGGTTTCGGGGTGTTTCGGGGTGTGTCTAAGGGGCCCGGTGCCCGGTGATGGTGCGGATTGCCGTGTTCTGGGTTGTTGAGTGTGTGTGAGAGGAGCCCAGGGGGGGGGGAGGAAGAGGCGGAGGAAAGGGCGGGGGCGTGCATGTGTGTCTGTGTGTTTGCGTGTGTGTTTGCGTGCTTGGCTGTCGTTTTTAATTTTTTGCTTTGCAGGGAAAGGAAAGGAAAAGGAAAGCGGCTGCCCTCTTTTGCTTTTTCAGTTCGCCGTTGCGGTTCACAGGGGGGGGGAGCCTAAAGAGTTCCATTCCAGTGCCAGTGCCAGTCCTTGAGAATCCTCTCGTCTCTTTATTTTTTAAATAGAGTTTTACTACAGGCTTAAAACAACGGGCCAATACGAACAACCCCCTCTTCTCTACCCATCTGCCATCCAGCCCCCTCACCACCGCCGTAGTGCCGTACGCAATAACTACCCAACTAACCGTCAAACGCAGGGCAAATCCCCTCGTTCCGCCAACAGCCCAACCAACGCCCCGTCGTCGAGGGGCGACTCCCCGTTAGCCACCGTGCGCGGCCACCAAGCCGCCACTACCCAAGGGGATATCGATTCGGGTGCTCCAAGCAGCTCAGGCAGCGTCGATGAGCTGCTTCAAGCTCACTCCCATTCAATTCATCAGCCACACCCGCAGAGTGCGCTGCCGTACACGCCACGCCACCTGAGTCGGCCGCTGTCGGCAGGGCGTGCGCGCTTCGCGAGTGTACTGAATGGTGATTTGCAGCGGCCGCTGTCGGCGGCGGTGGCGGCGCCATGCAGTGCGCGTGTGGAGGCTTGGGGCGCCGCTGCAGCTGCCGTGGCGTCAGGGCTGTCGTCGCCCGGCGGGCCGCTGCGGCCGCAGTCCGCCGCCAATGGCGGCTACCAGAACCCCTCGGCGTGGCGGCGAAGCAACACCACTTTGCTAAGAAATAACTCGCCGCGATATGCAGCGTCGAATCTTTGTAACGGCAGCGGTGCCGCTGCCGCCGCTGGTGGCGGCGGTGGGTCGCCGTCAACGGCAGGGCCGCCGTCGACGCTGAGCTCAGCGGCGGCGGCTGCCGCCATCGCGACGGCGGCGATGGGCGCGCTGACGAGCCGGCCAAATACGGCCCGTCCGAGTACGGCGCATAGCGGCGCGTCGCGGCCGCGAAGTGCGGGGCCGGCGGCCCGTCCGCCGGCGAGGGTGGCTGTGGATGTCACGCCGCTGCAGGCCAGCATGGCGAGGTCCAAGGCGCAGGCGGGATCACATGCGCTGTCGGCAGCGACTCTTGCGGGTTTCTCCAAGGACGTGCCGAAATTGCGATACCCAGAGGTCGACGTGCCGCAATCCCTTACCATTGCCAGCAGCTTGAGAAGTAGCTAAGAGCGCGCGGATAGCTGAGGGGTATTCCAAGGACGGGGAAGGGGGGGGCGTGCTGCGGACCTTCTTGCACCTGGGTGCGGCTGAGCGCGTGGCTGCGTGTGTAAAGCCTGTTTCGTGGCTTGTCGTACTTGCTTTTATCCTATTGTGGCTTTAGGTAGTACGGCAATGTACGGGATTGCAGGACGTTTATTTTGGCGGAGGGCTAGTAGCAGAAGTATGTGTTTGGTATGTGCTGCTGCTGTTTATGTATGTATGTATGCGTATGTTTGTGACTGTTGCGCCCTGTGTTGCGAAAAGTGTGCTTGGTCGCAGATTCGCGTGCAAATGGCGCATGAGCTAACAACACGTTTTAGGAGGCTGTCGAACGGTTGAAGATGGGACAACAGCAGACCAGGCTATTCAGGGATACACCGAAGTGTTGATTTGGAGGGCTTTGGAGTGGAGTAGGTTGGTTGGACTGCGCGCGTTTTGTTACGAAACGGGGCAGTGGTGTTACGAAAGTGCGTGTGGGCGCCTTCCCTGCGTAGGGAGCTTTTGCGGAGGGATATCAACCATTGCAGGATGCATGTGCATTGGGCTGCTAGGCCCCAGTACCGAGGCGCTCGTTACTGGTTGGCGATATCGTCAAACGCAGAGATCACCTCATATATTCGCTGCTGTGGATTTCCTGTTTGTTTTTGTTGTAGTGTCAGCTGCAGATTGGCGCGTGGAACGCCTGGGTGTGTCCCTTGCCATGGGGGGCTCTCGGGTCGAAAAAGTGTACTTCGTGTGAAAGGGCCTACAGGAACTGGGTGGCTGCTGGAATGCAGGTCTAGTAGAGGCATGGAGGGTGGGTAATGTCAGGGGATCATCCAAATCGAAGGTTGGAGTTCAAAATCGAAGGTTGGAGTTTCATACACCGCAAACTCAGGATGTAGGAACGGAGTATATGCGTTCGGGATTTCGTGTGTATGTATGTGTGTGCATTACGATGAGTCCATGAGTGCCTCCATATTCATACCTTCATGTACCATGTGAACATGGGACGTGTACGGCATGCATGGGATGTATTGCGGACCCATGCACGCCGCCCTTGGTTGTACCGACAGATGTGATTGCGGCTGAAGTTTTACACCGTACTTTTTGCTGCTGCAGGTTCTAAGTTGTTATGGGTTGCAGGAAATTTCCGTAACCGGTCCGCGTTGCCGTTGTCGCCGACATGTCAGGCAGCCGTGCAAGGATTTGTAGCATGCATATATTTAGTGTGGAACCTTGCATTATCGTAGATGATGCTTGGTATGTGAATGTGCGAATCTCACTGGTCTGGATGGCTGGAACGACACCCGTATTCAAGGTTGTAAACCAGAAATTGGATCAGCTGAAAACCCAACCCCACCTCGTCCACACATCTGATGCACGTGTGGAGATGTGAGAATTCCAAGTCGCAGGTTACACAGAAGCACCGCACACGCGTTCCGAGACAGCAAAACTCGAAATCCATATCATCCAAACATCACATGATCATCACGCTGACCAGGATTCAAGCACCTCTCCCAAGAGGAAGTCTACAAAACGTGCATTGAAAGTGGCGCAAACTTCGTCCCCAGTCAGAGGGTGGCAAGTCCGTTCGTCAAAACCACCAGGACAATACCTTCCTGGAAACAATATGAATGTGTGACAACACTTCATAACATCCCGAATATTCTCGAGTTTACATCACAATCCCAAATCCCGTTGAGCACCATCATTCGCGCCAGATCCCCAGAGCCCAGCTCGCAACGCGCCATCACATGCTGCCCAGAACCCAGAAAGCCGATTTAGCGGTTACGGTTCAGCAAAGTCGACGCGTCGTCGAGCTCCTGCAAGGTAAAGTTAGCACAGCAACGAGTTGAGATTTCAAATCATTGGTTGTTGGCAAACAGGAACAAATGCGGCACCCCAATGCATGCAGCTCCTGATCCCTTATGAATATCCCCTCCCTGCAGGACTTGCCCGAATTGCCACAACTTTAATTCCAATCGAGCTAACCTCCGGGGAGATAATACGCATAGTAGGTGTCGTAGGTGCTGGCGTGACCCTTCCCTGACCAAGCAGTTTTCCCGCACCTTTTGGAGGCGCTCCAGACGCTTCTTCGGGATGGGGGCCGTCGCACCGAAAGAGTTGAAGTGACCCGCCAGGGCATTCAGTGCGGAGTAAGTGTTGCTGCGGATAAGGAACGACGCGGGAGCGAACGACGGCATGAGGGGAAAGACGTGGTGAATGACACCGGATGAATGGGCATGAACTAGATGGAAGGGTGGATGCGGCGGGGGCCGGACTGGATAGGAGATCAGCTGTTAAGACATCCCCACTCTCTAGCATGCAACATGACAGCCTGTCTTAGCAAAGCACAAGCTTCTAAAATTGTCATCCGAAAACCGTGTACGGTCTTGCGGTCTTGGTTGCGGTCGAAACCAAGCTCGAGGTTCGTTGGGAAAACCTCAGCGCACACGGTGCTTGGTGTTCAGGATTTCGGTCGACAGCCACGGTCGTCACTTAGCTCTTAGCGAGGTCAGTAACATCTGTTTTTTCCTCTTTGGCACAACTATTTATATACTACTTTTTTGAGTGACCCACCATCCGGCGACTTCCGCTCATTATGAGCCATAAGTACTGCAGCGCTGCAAATGGTCGATCGCTGCATGACCAGCGCCCCATATCCCCTGGCCAACATGGCCCCGCGTGCGTAATAAGTCCCCCACTCCCAGGTGTTGCCATGTCCAGTTGTGCAATCGATCGGAAACCATTAGGCAATAGCTTCACGTTTGATATCCATCGACCTTGTCGGCTACCATAACAGCTCGCTGACCCACACACGCACCCGAAGGACGGCTTGCCCGAGACCTTTGGCTCGCGACGGTACTTCGCGACCCAGTTGTTAATGTCCTTGCGGAGCGCCTTCACGGAGTCTTCCTTCGTTGGGTCATCCTTGTCCAAGGCGAGGGTCACCTTAACCTTGCCCAGGATGGCGCTCTGAAACGAGGGAAAACCCAGAAATCTATTTGGAACTCGGATACCCAGATCCTACGTTGTTACTTGGGACACATCCCAACTGTGGGCCATGCTCCGATTTCCATTTGCTCGGCGTGTTCTTGCAGGAGGCAGCAATTCGGTGGTCAAAGGTGCATCACGGAAGGAAGGTATGGCCGCGGAAGGCCGAACGGAAATTCCAAGAGTGATTGATGTGCTGCTTAACTTAGGGTAAACATTTCTTAGATAGCTGAGGTAGCCATCCAAGCCAGCAAAGCAATTGGGACTTAAATCGCAAGGCGTAGCGGAAGCACTCTCATAGGAATGCAACTGCAAGCCAACTCCTGGCGGTCCGTGGGTCCCGCAATTTTCCGCGCATGTGTTCCCTGCTTTAGGACTGGGATACATCAATAGCAACGTATCCTTCGCAAACATACCGTCTCCGAGTTGTAATCGTCGAACAGCTTCGAGTCGTCCCCGGCAAAGCCGAAGATCGCATAGGCTGGGCTTGAGCTAAGCAGGAGGGAGAATGCCGCAACAGAAGCCCCTAGGACCTCACGACGGGATGCAGGCGCCTGCAGATTGCATAGGTCAGCCAGACGTCAACCCACCCGACACGGTCTCGGCATCCTTATGTAAGGAAAGGCTTGACAAAACCAGCAGTAAAATTGTTCATAAAATCCCACAACACGCTTCTTATCATGTCCTTAAAAAATTTGGAAAATCTAGGTAAACACCGGCTTGCGCCGACGTGAGCATGCATTCAGCCCCCCTCACCTGACGCTGAGCCGAAGCCACAACAGACAGCCGCTGAGTGGTAGGCCGCGTGCTCCTGGGATTGGCAGGATGTTAACATGGGTGACGATCGAGTTTGATGTTACTTGCATATGGGCCACTTATTAAGCTCTCTTACCTGGCGCGCGAAGCAGCAACGGCCTTGCCTGAACAGCACGTAAGGGAAGCCATGTTGTTTGACAAGATGTAAACGCAGAACTAACCAAGTTTGACGGACACGAGCCTATTCGGTGATCTCGTTGTACGGGCCGCTCCGGAGTCCAAGACGACAGGTTCAACAAGAATTGGAAGCGAATTAGTATAGGCGAAGGAATCTCCTGAGATCTAAGTAGCTCTGGACTGACAAGGTTGTACCGCCATACTTTATCCTTGCAAAGCGCTTGATGGTCACCTTACCCACGAATGACGTTTACTGCCAAGGAGTTGCAAGTTTCATAAAATGGAATCTTAACAATCTTTGCGAAGGCGCATTTTGTTTCGCCTGATTTTCTGCTCCTCACCCTTGTGCGAGCTTCCCGTCTAGGCGAGGGATTCACACCATTACGGAGACATCTATGGTTCATAATGGCCATATCATAAAGTCTGCGTCGCATGAAGATGAACGTCGCATGAACAGCAGCACCGTGCGACTCGCCTCCGACACGCCAAATCTTCAAAACATGGCATGCTATCCATCGTCTTTTCATACTGTTAAGAGCAGCATCTAGGAACATAAGCAAATAGCCTACAGGTAGACAACACGAAGCAGCTGCCCAAGAGGTAGCTCTCCCATGGCGTATCCCGCGAGACTCAACCGATAGGGCCGTCCTTGGAGGGCATCAGCCCTTCTTTGAAGCGGTGCGGATTACAGAGAGCAACACCCAATGTCTACGGCTGTGCCAAAAGGGGATGGCCCCCCTCACGCTGTGACGACCGCAAAAAAACAGTTACGATACAAACCGACGCTGGTACTTGCGTTTCCTAACACTCGATACCCCCCAAGGACATTGTAGTGGGGTATGACGGGTTGGATCTGCATCTTTGCTTGTCGATTTGTCCATGGTGCTCCCACAGCAACTTCTTGTCTCTACAGGCTTCAGCTGTGCTTCAGATGTGTCTTGACTTAGGATTTCTGCATCACTTGGAATGAATCGCATCGACCGGCTGTGTGAAGGTATTGGCGCTAAAGGCAGAATTCCATAATTCCAGCCCAACACGCCTGTAACGCTGCAACCAAACATGCAAACCTTGCTAAAACTAAGTCAAGTAGCGCGCCGTGTGTCAAGTCAACCAGGGGACGCCCCAGCATCCGAGAGGAGCTCATAACGGAGGGGCGATGAGGAGGATAGGGCTTCAGGAGTTACAAGTGACAGGAGATAGACCCCGGTGACGGCGCCAGAGCGGCGGGGCGCCAGCTCCGAAACACACATACAAGCTGGCATACGCCCCCTCCCTAACCACCTGTGCCTGACTTCATCAGGTCATCCACATCCACAAAGCTAACCACATAGTCCAGATCCAGTCGCTGCCACCGCTGCCACCGCCGCCACCATTAGGTTGGCCGCCCTTGAATACGCATTTCACTCATGACGTCTCATCCCACATCTGGATCTTTTTGCATCGAGGCTTTCCGTACAAGACGTCGACCTGCTGCTGGGGATATCCTTTTATCGTTCGACTCACAAACCACCCAACGCCTTCGCCGCCTTCTTTGCCTTAGCCTCCCTCTGCTCCTTGAGCTTCTTTCGCGCCCACAGAGTCGGCAATTTCTCCTGCCTCCAGCGCTTGGCCATGGCTAAATAATCCTCGATCTGATCTGGATTTACCCATCCGCCGTACTCGCCGTACAACGCCCTGGCGGCGCTCTGCGGCGCGGACGCCGGGTCGCGACCCACCGCCGTTAGCCGCCCCGACCGCGGATCGCGCACGTACTCCGTCGGCACGCCGTGTTCATCCACAGGCGGCGGCGGATTTACCGCCGCCGCCGTGCCGTACAGGTCATCGTGGTGTTGCTGTGCGGCCGCCGTCGCCGCTGATGCCGACGTTGACGCAGCAGCACCCCAACTGAATTTCACCACCTCCGCCAGACTCTTGCCCGCCGCCGCTGCCTGACGCGCCAGTACGACAGCCTCGTCATCTGGCGGCAGCCCCGCCAAGACCGCCTCCGCGTACTCCAGCATGGATTCCTCCCGGCTGCGGGGCCGGCTGGCGACGGCGCCACCATCCTCGGCGCTGCTGCCTCCGGCAGTAGCAGCCGCGACCGCGTAATGCTGTTGCCCGCTCTGATAATAGTACTGCGCGTGCTGTGCCCCGTAAGCATGGTGAGCCGCAGCCGCGGCGGCGGCGGCGGCACGGAGCCACTGGTCATGCACCGACGCTGGCGGCGCCGTACCCAGCGGTCGGTCGCCGGGAAAGCGCCGCCGCCAGTCCGCCAGCAACGGGCCGTCGCCCAAGAGCTCCGCCAGCTCGATACCCGGTAACCCGCAGGCGATGGCCTCTGCCACGGAGGCGGGCCCGACGCTGCCGCTGCCGGCGTCGGCGACCGCGGACCGACCCGTGGGTCCGGCCCCCTGCTCCTCCTTATCTTCTTCCTCCTCCTCATTACCTCCCTCTTGCTCTGCGGCGGAAGCACTAGCTCCAGCTTCAGCGGGGTCGGCAGCAGAAGTGAAGGCGGGAACCTCAATACCGAGAGACGAGGGAGATGATGATCGCGGCACCGGTGGTAGTGAAATATCTTCGGCCCTGACGGCCCCATTTGATAGGGGCTTGGTGGTTTCGGAGGCGGGCTCGGAGTGCTTTGCCCGCTTCGCCGGTGGCTCAATGGCGGCTGTTTCGTTAGCCACGGATCCGACGCCATCGCCGCTACCTCCTCCCTTTCCTCCCTTTTTCCCGCCCTCCATGAGGCTATCGTCGCCATCGCTGCCGCACGGCCTCTCTGCCGCTACCCTCGGCTCGCCCTTCTCCTCCACTTTCTCCTTCTCGTCCTCGTCCTGCCGCTGCTGCTGCATCTGCTGCTGTGCTTGGCCCTGCTCCTCCTCCTGCTGCTGCTGCTCTTTCTGCTGCGGTGGCTGCAGCGGCTGTTTCTGTGGATGGTGTAGCTGTGGTGGCAATGTTGGTGTCTTCCGGTGGTGGTGGTTGTGGTTGTTGTTGTTGTTGTGGTGGTGTATGTCGACGTACCAGACGATGAGGTCCATGGGCAGGAAGGCCCTCCAGGCGCGGAGGTGGTCCCGGTGGAAGGGGCCGTGAAGGGCACCGCCGCGGTCCCTGGGTTGAGGGTTGAGGGGTTAAGGGGGGAAAGTGAAGGGGGGGGAAAGTCAGGGGGGGGACGGAGAGGGAGAGTGAAACGGGGGAAAGTGAAGGGGGGAAAGACGAACCACGAACCACGAGACGGGGGAAAGTGAAGGGGGGAGTGGGGAAGTGATGGAGGCGAGGGGAAGAATTACATGCAAGACGGAAATAATATGCTGCCGATCTACCCATACATACACACACCCATGCTGCTCGCAGAACTCGCAGAACAGGGTATAGGCTGGCTGGTCTACCTTTCTGCCTGTCTATCCGTCTGCATACCTGTCTGTCTGTCCGTCTGTCTGTACTACATGCCAGTTTAACCACCCAGCACCCACCTGTAGTACCACCCGCTGCCAGTGCCGGTGCTGCTTGCCTGGCCCGCGGCTGACGGACCCCCTCCCAGGCGGGGTTGCGCAGGTGCGGTATCGAGTGCAGATACCTCTGATTTAGATGGCAGCTGTGTTTCTAATGGTGGGGTGGAGGTGATGGAGCTGCCAGCGGCGGCAACGGCCACTGGGGCAACTCGTGCTGCTGTTGCTGCTGTATTCGGTGCTGCTGCGTGTGCATGCCCTGGCGCCGCGGGTGCTGGGGACGAAGCAGAGGCCAGAGTAGTTTGTGGAGCGGATGTTGTGTGGGAATGACTCCTGTGGGTAGGTGGTCAGGGGCTTAGGAGCGGTGGTGAAAAGGTTCTGGAAAGGTTGTACAACGGCCAACGTCTAAATGCAGGACGAGGTAGTCCAGGGCTCGTAATGACAACGATGGAATTATTTCACGGACTTACGGTTGTGGAAATACCCAAGATGTAGCTCCTGTTGAACGGTTGTAATAGTACCAATGCCCTGTCGCATGGTCGAGGGCGCATTCCCAGCCCGCTGGCAGCGCGGCATGTGAACGATAATCCATGAGCAATTGCGCTACGCTTGCAATTACGTCAGCAACTCATCAGCAACAGATAATCGTTCATCTAGATTGTTAAAGTTCGAACTCGGTTGATATATAGTTGAGCAGAGTAATATCCATCATCGCCCGGTAACAAGCCCCGCTCAATTGCTTTTTAGGTGTCAACCGGGATTGCTTTCTGTGGTCGCTGCTGTACGGACACAAGGACGTCTTGTCGATGGAGGGAACACACGAGCCTGCGTTTGCTTCAGCCGTGTCGCTATGATTTGAAGAGGTTAAAACTGATAATGCAAAGAAAGATGCTTATTTTGCTCATGTCGACTGCCACGATATTCTGAAACTTTAGTACAATTCTGCGATGAGTGAAACAGTATAAGAAGTACTGTATCTTAAGAGTCCCATCGGGCCTGATTGGAACGGAGTTATGGCCGCCGCGGAGGCTCCGGAGTCGTTTGCCCCAGAAATTCCCGTGGAGACGAAGACTATCAAAGCGCTGACTCTACAGTCCCTGAAACGAACATATGATGTCTTTGTTAGCAGCCATGGGCAACCTACGCCTTTGGACGAGAGCAGGTAAAGCTGTGGGGCGATCGGGACGGACACTGGACATAATATGAGCTCGCAGTGTGTCCCTTGTGACTCCATATGTCGCAAGCTGTCAAGAACCGGCGTCAGGGGTTACAGTCTATTTCGAGGGGAAGCCACGACAAGCCATGCGACAAGGTGGATGCCACTTACAACTGGACCGCTGCACCTAAAGCCTATCAGCTAGCTGCTCGTCACAAACTTTCATCCCGGGTTCCGTCGACCGGTTCAACCCAGTCTTCGCATTGTTGTCCCGCACCATTCCGTGCGTCGTTACTTGTTTACGTTCCCATGCGTATTTCGTCCATGCGGAGTTCCACCCCGGCGCCCAGGTCCCTCCACACTGTCCTCTCCCCCCTCCACGACGCCCCTTTCCTTTTCCTCTTTCGGGCCCCCTTCTCAGTCAACTGCTCAAAGCTGCTATCAAATTCCGGGACGAGTACAGCCACGTGAGTCACCTGGTGGCGCCAACAGCTGCTCCGAAACCCACTGCGGCACCTCCGCCATCCGCGGCACGGGCAGCAACAGGGGCCCCCTCGGCACCGACTGGTAAGAAGCAAAAGGGAGGGGAGGGGTAAGTAAGTGGGTGTCGGGGAAGGGGTGCTGTAATTCACGCCGGCGACGTGTGTATGTCCACAGTCCACCACTGTCCTGTCCTGTCCTGCATCCCCTTCGCCTTCCCCTTCTGGACGTGGGCAGTGGACCCTTTGCGTCTTGCCTGCAATCCCACCCTCTGCCCGACTGCCTGTCTGTTTGACTGCTTGTGTTTTCAAGTCCATTGCGTCCATCATTCCCATTCGTCCGAATTACCCTCGACAGCCCCTGCGAAGGGGCTGTGTGGCTGGGTGGTTGGGTAGGGGAGCCAGCCTGGGTTGGCGGTGGCGTGCCGTCTGGGCTGGCGCTGAAGGGGGGCCCTTTTGTGGAATCCCGGGTCTCCGCACCATCCGATACACATGAAGGCTGGGTAGTATTTTAGTGAAGGGAAGGAAAGGGAAGTGGAAGGGCATTACATTGCAAAAGATGCAAACGAAGAGGCCAGGCAGCGGACAGGGAATGAACGGCGGCCTCTACTTATGTATGTAATATAGGTGTATATGTGTATATGTGTATAAGTATATAAGTATATGTATGTGTGTGCGTGTATTTATGTGTACGCAGGGGGGGAGGGGGCCGCCCCCGCCGCCTCCCGACCGGAATCGCGCTCCTCCCTCGCGAAGCTCCTCGACAACATCCCAGCAGCTGCGGCTGCGTCACCGCAAAGCGCCGCTGCCGCAGCAGCCGCCAGCACCGGTGGCGGCGGCGGCGGCAAGAAGGGCGATGCCGGACAGCAGATGGTTTTGTATCAGGCGCCGGGGGCTATCATCGCCGCCGGGGCCGGGGCCGGCGTCACCGCCGCCGCCGCTGACGCGGCGGCTCATCATCGTGCGGTGATGGCGGTGATCAATGATAAGGGGGGCAACAGCTCCGCGGCTGTGTCGAGGAGGTTGGCGTCCAAGTGGCCGAGGCCGGTGTGGCATGCGCCGTGGAAGATGTACAGGGTCATTTCTGGACACTTGGGGTGAGAGGGGGGCTGGCTGGTTGGTTGGGTTAGTTGGGTTGGTTGGGTTGGTTGGCTGCCTGAATAAGCTACTTGTTTGTGCTAACTGTTGTTTGTGTGCTAAATGATGACCGATAACTGTTTAACTCTTTTTAAAAGCGAATGTTTTGCAACTTGCTGGAATGCAACCCACACCTCTTTTCCCACTCTTCCCCCTCCCCCGCGTACACACAGCACCACCAGCACCAGCACCACTATTACCCCTGCCCGCACGTCGTCGTACAACCACCACCTAAACGCACTTTTTACCCCCCCCCTCCTCTGCCTTTCTCCTTGCGACCCTTTTGCCCCCTCCCCTGCCCATAAATCTGGGTTCCTCATCTGTCGTACATTTCAGTTGGGTTCGTTGCATAGCCGTTGATCCCGGTAACGAGTGGTTTGCGACGGGCAGTGCGGACCGAACCATTAAGATCTGGGACCTAGCCAGCGGCCAACTGAAGCTCACCCTGACGGGGCATATCGAGCAGGTACGAGGGGGGTGGGGGGCCTTTTGGTGCTTGGTGGCGAGGGGCCTTTTGGTGCTTGGTGGCGAGGGGAAATTTGGTGCTTGGTGGCGAGGGGAAAACACGACACGGGAAACAGCGGAATGAATTTTTTCTTGTAGGGGAGGGAAGGATGTGTTTGACATGCACGCATCGCATGCGCAATCACTCTCTCTCTCTCTCTCTCTCTCTCTCTCTCTCTCTCTCACACACACACACACACAGCGAACCCCCCACCCCGGAAGCCGGATCAGGCGCCGGGGCTGGGGAGGAGTCTTGCTTGTGTTTCGGGCTCAAAACTTGCAAACTCACGTGGCAGAGCCTTGACTCGTGAGAGCGTGCGCGCGTTCGATGCTTTCGACCCCGGGGGGTGGGGTGGGGGTGGAGCTAGCGGAGCTAGGGGAAAGCTGTGGCTATTGGCTGCTTAGGGGGGGAGTTCGGAGGCCCCCTCTCGCGCCCCTCTCCCGTCCGCTTAGGGAGACAGCTTAGGCGGTCTTTCCGTTGGGGCAGTGTAGCAGGCAGCCCCTGGCCAGCCAGTGTCCGGCCCGGTTATTCACTTGTATCCTTCACAGGCGTGCACACACCCCTCTCCACCACCACCACCACCACCACCACCGAAACCCCCTCCTCCCCCTCCTTCCCCCCAGGTCACGGGTCTGGCGGTGTCCTCGCGCCACCCGTACATGTTCAGTTGCGGACTGGACAAGATGGTCAAGTGCTGGGACCTGGAGCAGAACAAGGTGGGCTTGGGAGCGGGGGGGGAGGGTTGAACTCGGGTGGGGGCCGGGTGGCGATTGGGGAGCGGGAGAGGAGAGTGTGGCCGCCTCAACGGGGGCGGCCCCCGCCAACCTGGAGCTGATGCGTGTATTTGTATGTGTATATGTGTATGTATATGCAGTCTGCATGGTAAATATAGAGGAACAGCGGCATTCATAGAGGGAAATAAATACGAGCAATGTGAAGTGCTTTAATGTAATATCCTGTAGGGCGTATCACGTAGGGGTCTGACATCCGCCGATTGGTACTTTTTTGTCGTAGTCGTATAGGCATTTAACCTATTTCCCTCAACCTCCCGCTGTTTCTCCTCCAACTAACCCCCCGGGGACGCTTTTCGTTTTCATTACCCCGCCCCAACCCCACATACATACATACATACATACATACATACATACATACATGCATGCATACATTCGTACATGCAATCTCCCCTACGTCACCACACGTCCACTTTTCCGAACACTTTTCCAACAGATTATCCGGTCGTACCACGGCCACCTGTCCGGAGTGTACTGCATCGCCCTGCATCCCTCCCTGGACATCCTTATGACGGGAGGGCGTGACAGCGTCGTGCGGGTTTGGGACATGCGCACTGCCGTACAAGCCATGGTGTTGTCGGGACATGACCAAACCGTGTGCTCCCTGCTGGGCCAGTCACCCGACCCTCAGGTATGGGTGGTGGGGGGTAGTGGGTAGTGGGATCGTGGGTAGTGGGTAGTGGGGGTGGGTAGTGGGGTGGGGGTAGTGGGGGTGGGTAGTGGGGGGAGAGGTCGGGAAGTAAGGGGCCTTCCCAGAGTCGGGGGTTGCATATGTGTATATATATGTGCATATGTAATATATGAGCATGTGTGTTTTGGGTTTTGGCGGATACTCGTATTGGGTTTCGAAGGGAAGATAGCGCATCGGTTCGTTTGTCTTCTCTTCCGTTCCTCTCGGGCAGCGTATCTATCCCCTCGTCCCCTGTCACTGCGCTTGTCCCTCTGTCGTTTACCACCACCACCCCCCTCTTCCCCGCCTTCGGCTCCTGCAAAACCGCCTACTGGTCAGTTCTGCTTCTCTTTCCTTGGCAGCAGCTCCACTCGTTCACATGGTTCGTCTCTTTCCCCTCCCCCCCCCTCGTTTGTGGTTCGTCTTTTCTCCCCTCCCCCTCCTCCACCACCCCCACCCCGCTCCCCCACCCCCACCCCACACACACCCGCAGGTCATCAGCGGCAGTCACGACAGCACCATCCGGCTGTGGGACCTGCGCAAGGGCAAGGCCAGCAGCGTCCTCACCCACCACAAGAAGTCCATTCGCGCCCTGGCCCTCCACCCCCACGAGTTCGCCTTCGCCTCGGCATCCGCGGAGAACATCAAGAAGTGGGCGCTGCCCGACGGCGACTTCCTGCACAACATGCTGTCCCAGCAGCGGGCCATCATCAACTCCATGGCCATCAACCAGGACGGCGTCGTGGCGACAGGTGCGGGGGTCGTGGCGAGGCTCTTGGTTGGTGTGTGTGGGGGGTGGGGTGGGGGGTGGGGTGGGGTGGGGTGGAATGGGAGAGAGTGGGGAGGGGTCTTGGGGGTTTTAGGGTTTTGTTTTGGGGTGTTGCCTTTTTTAGAAGGGGGGGCTTTGTTGGGTTGGGGTCCTCAAGAATCCCCTGGGGCCCGCACGCACGCACACCCGTACTCAGTCTGCCATTGTGTGTGTACATGTATGTGTGTATGTATGTATGTGTATCACACCTTCTGGAGTTGCGTTAGTCTCTGAAGTTGTCAGGAGTGCCTTACGAGCCCCTAGGGGGCCCCAAGGGCCAGGGGGCCTAGGGCTGCTGTCCGGAAAGGACAGATTACAGCGACACCTCCTCCCTCCCTCATTCATTCATTCATGAACGCGGTGTTGTGTTGTGGTTGGTTGGGTGGTTGGTGTGCCCCCGACACCAGGCGGCGACAACGGCAGTCTGTGGTGGTGGGACTGGCGCAGCGGTCACTGCTTCCAACAAGACGAGACTGTCGTACAACCCGGCTCCCTGGAGTCAGAAGCGACCCTGTACGACATGGCGTACGACATGTCTGGCAGTCGGTTAATTACGGCCGAGGGCGATAAGACTGTAAAGATGTGGCGGGAGGTGGAGGACGCGACCCCGGAGACCCACCCGGGGCTGCCCTTCCGACCTCCCAAGGATATCAAGAGGTTCTAAGTGTCCTCCCCGCTGCGGGATTTCCAGGGTGGTGGGACATGGCTTTGATGGCATGATGATGATGATGAGGAGGAGGAGGAGGGGGAGGGGGAGGGGGAGGGGGAGGGCGAACTTGCCAGCGAGTCATGCAGTAGGTGCCTTTGAGATAACGGACGGACGGATCTGGGGGTAGGAGATCCATTCAACATCCTCCACACAACCCCCCCCCCGCTTACACACACACTTGACCGACAGACAGACGGACTGACTGACTGACTGATTTACCTACGGACGGACGGATGGACTGTTTAGAGGGCTTTTGGAACGTTCTGGATGGTCGCTGTGGAGGATGGTGGTGTTCTTGTGATGGTGATGATGGGTTCACGGCTGTTTGACTGCGGAGGTGTTTTTAATTGTTGATGGGGTGGGTCTTTTGGTGATCTATCAAAAGAATTAAATATTTGCATCAGACATCTGGCGGCGTGGTTCGTACTAGCAACTGTTATGACTAACTAAATACCTGACAGAGCCTTTTACGGCGGCTCTATGTGATGATAGGTACCGATGCAGATATGGACATGTACGAGAATGTGGATTGTGTGTGTGGGGGGGGGGGCCGAGGGAGGGGGTTGTTTGGAGTTGAGGCGCCGTCGCGTTTGTTTCTCTCACTACCTCTCAACACACAGCACAGCATAGCAGAGAGCCTTTTCGTCGCAACAGCGCAACAGCAGCAGCCGGCAGGTTTAAGAATTAAAGAGGATGCCGTGACTCGCGTCCGCATTTTTGACCATTTCGTTCTAGTTGGAAAGATACAAAGGTATAGAAGTTGCGCCGGAGCTAGCCAAAATGTTTAGTGAAATTGCCTAAAATCGCTGAAAAAACATGAAACCCTCATGCCATTTCGATTTTTAGTTTTTAGATTGCAGGACCTCAATCCATATTGTAGACCTATTTTTTGTTATGTGGCAGTCAGACTGTCGGAAGGCCATTTGGTGGCTGGATTAGCGCTTTTCCCAGCGGTGAGACGCGATTGTTACAGCGGCACCAGGCAGCCAGACACAGTACTCCTGACCATTCAAAACCCTATAACTCTAAGCTCTCAAAAGTAACCTAATCTTTGAGGCACCGTCCGTAACGGGTATCCATGGATAGCTTACATCAAAAAGATGCTTACAGCATGAACTAAGTCGAATTTTTGATCAGGAGAAATGCGCTTTATATCAACACGAAGGTCATTTCAGTCTGAACACGTGCGACGATGTTTCATCCATTTCGGAGTTGATTTGCCTAGGCTCCCATGGGTTTAACTGGGTTGGACTGTAAGCCTAATGCATGGGAGCCTTGCACCTAAAACCCAAGGGTAACAAGGTCAGACATCAAAAGTCCAAAATATCCGTAACGAGTATCCATGTGGATAACATATTTCAGAGGCCCCTCACGGGGCCGGAATCCCGGAATTTGACCTCATGAATTCCCAAGCAAATCCGGGTCAAATCCCAACGGGATTTGAGGATTTGACCCCCAAAACAATAAGCAATATAATGGTCATGCAAAGATTTCCTCGGGCCTGGAATTTGACACATTTGAGGATTTGAACCCCCCAAAACAATTATCATCATGCAACATGGCCATGCAAACAATTCCATGCGCAGCCGTTACAATATATTACATATCTTCGAGCGGCATGTTATGCTCGTGCCAGTCAGAGTTATCAATAAAGTTAACCCCTAGTATGTTGTGGTGGAATGGTCGCTTTACCCTGTTGGTGCTCGTACGATTTCGTGTCGTCGGATGCGGTGTCCCCTTTGCGTGCACCGGAGCTGCCCCGTATCCATATCACGTGCCCATCTCGTCCCCCCCTGGTTGCAGTCCTGGCAAGAGGCGGTCAGGCGTGAGACGCTTACCAAACCTCTGACGGGAGAGGTATTGGTAGGCGTTGCTAACGCACTGAGGCTCAAGGCCTACGAGTTCCGTCTACTCGACTTTGTGCGGACGAGGCAAGGCGTCACTGGCATCGACGGCAACCCCAGTAGGTTCTGCGCCCGATTCACGCGTTTTTATGGGGGCACAAGGAGTGATGCCGCTTGACAGAGTTGGCAGATAGACAAATGTCAGGTGTCAGCATAGAAGATATAAGGCCCCCATCCAATCACAGTTCACCCCATGACCTTATCTCGTTCAGCAGCGACTTTTGTGGTGGCACTCTGACAACTGTCATTGCTGATCCAACCCTTTGTACCCCGCGTGCCCATACGTTTGTGTGTAGGCGGTCCAATGGGTGTCTTGCCTCAGCCACTGCTGCCGCCGTCCCAGCTGCGGCCCCAGCTGCAAACAGGCCCCGCACTCCAGCACCTCCACCAACTCATACAGCAGCAACAGGCGATGCTCACACAGAACCAGCAGCCGGGACCGCAGGCGGAGCCATCTTTTACCAAGTTGCAACAGACAGACACGGTGCTTCATGGCAGCCAGGGGCCAATTGGCACTGGGCCAATGGCCATGCTACTTGCTGGGTCTCCCCCTCAGCAACAGCACATGTTGCCGCAGCAAAGACCCATCAACCTCCAACCTGGAACCCTGGGTGGTGGTGCCCTCCAGCAGGTGGATGCAACGGCTGTCAGTGCTGGCGCGCCTCTGGTTGCCACGCTAGCCCCCTTGGCCCCGACTCCTGTGATTGGCGCCATGCCACTTCGTGGTGCTGGACCCGTGGTGCTCCCGCCCATGGTGGATGCAACGGCTGTCAGTGCGGCTTTCGATCCAGCAACCTGTGAGGACCCCCTGATCTGGCGTCGCCATTACCTGCTGCTTGTCAAGGAGAACGCGGACCAAAAGCTACAGCTGGCCAGGATGGTGGCACAGGTTGCTGACACGGATGCACGGGCTGCAGCCTTATCGATGCGTTTGCAAGCGGCCACGTGTGAACAGCAAGGTCTTGTTAAAAGCCTTGCGCAGCTAAGCAGCAGTACGACAGCGGTCCTTCGGCGCGCACGGAAGTGGACACTGGCGCGCGACGTTGATGCGGATGCCGACTCTGTATCTGTACCGAATCCTGTCAGTGACCTGGTGCTGGAGCGGGTCAGTGGTCCCTCCCTCTTGCGACCAGGCAGCCAGTCCCAGGTGTTCCGCATCCGAAACCAATCCAATCGCAGCCTTTTGTACTTCCCGCTTGACGCCTTCACATTGGCGGATACCGTGACAGACACGACAGATAAGACTGCAAAACAGCTCAAATCGGCGAACTCGAATGCAGTGGGGAAGCTCCAGCAGCACGCCGAGCTTGGTAGTGGTGTGAAGATCCTGTCTAAGGTGTGTACTGAGGCTCTGGAGCGCCAGGCTTGCGCCGCCTTCGTCGGTGCTGACGGGGGAGAGGGTGGGGCTGCGAATGGTGGCTATTTTCGGGGCACGCAGAACATGAGCTTTGTCACGCTGGACGGAATGGCACACCTGGTTTCCAGGAACTGCAAAGTGGTGGCGGGGCGGGGAGTTGATTGGGTTCACGAGGCGATTGCGTGGATAGGGTCGAACCCTGCACTCGAGAAAGGGGACTGGACACACTCTCCGTGGCAGCGGGTGGTCCCATCAGTACAGGGCGCTGCGGTACTATATGGAGGTGGCGACGGGGAGGTAGGGGATGTGTGAGTGGCGAGAAGTGACGAGAGTATGCTCACTCGACACGAGTCGCATCTGTACGTAAATGCTACCACTGCAACTTGCTGTGTGAGATGATGCTGTCACACCAAAACATCTGTGCCACCACCGAGTTAGTCGCTGTCCGCATGTGGTTAAGCCAACTGAAGGTAGTTGGACGAATCTCGTCTTGATTTAGTTGGGACTTAAGGTGTTGCCTGACTAGCGTATAAGGCGCTTTCCGTTGTGGTTTGAGGATGTTCAATTGATGTTCATCTGTTGTTAGTCGACAGGGATCCGTCCCAAGCCCGTCCTCGCCTACCACGATCGCGCGCCGGACTACGCCAACCGAGCTCTTATTGTTTAATCATTCCCCACAGCCAAACGACCCTTGTGGTGACATATCGTGTAACAATACATTCCCAAACCTCCTGCAAGACATGAAGCATTCCCAAACCTCCTGCAAGATCCCCTCGGCTAGAAGTCCGCAGAAGTCCGACGTGTATACAGAGTCAATGAAAATCCGGTATTATGTCCCCACAGTCAGCCTCGTCTATCCAAGTCAACCGTTCGTGTTGTCGCCGGTGAACTCTCGCGCATACACCAGGCGCCGATTCAGTGCGTCTACACGCGCACTGTTCCGGTGGTGTAGCGCCAGGCGCATACAGGCCATGAAGTTGGCCTGTTTCATCTGGCTTAGCATGGCCTTGAAGGGCCGTAGCTCACTGTTCACCTGCTCGGCGACCTCCGAGTTGATGTGGCTGAGGCCCGGGAAAAGTGAAAGGTTATATGCATGCGAACAGTTAACATGGTTCCCCCAATGGAAGCGATCCACTGCAAACTGTGTGCCCTGAAAGAACGCGGGCGCGCGGTTCATGCAGTACTCGTGCAGGTTGCAGGCAAAGTCGTACACCACCAGGTCGGGTGCCTTCTCCAGGTACGACACCATCCAACTATACACCTCGTTCCGCCCCTCTGCCTTCGGCAGGATAAAGAACGCGTAGCAAATTCGGTGCTCACAAAACAATGTGAAAACTCCACCCGTCCGAGGCCCCCTAGCGATGAAAGCGTGGGAACACCCACTGCTTCCGCCATGCTCCACATCCCCTCGTCCACTTGCCCCTACATCCATCTACTACATCCATCTACTACATCCATGTACTACATCCATCTACTACATCCATCTACTACATCCATCTCAGTCTGTACACGATCTCGTACACGACACAGCCCACAGCAAACTCCCGTCTGCAAGCAGGCATCGGACAGCGCGGAAGGCGCAACAGGCACAGGTAAAACGGGGCCACCGTCGAACCCAGTCACACACCGCTCAGTGAGGTCACACAAGCGAGTGAGGAAGGCCCTCATATCACAAACACAGTCAGGGCGCTCCTCCAACAGCACCTTTAGTGCGCCCCAAAGCACCGGGGCACTACTCTCCAGAACACCTGCTCTGTCTTTCAACTCACCCCCGGTTTCCTCTAACCATGGCCTGATAACTTGCCTCGCGGCAGTCACTGGCAGGTAGGCAACCGTCGGTGCAGGGCTGGCAAGGCAATCGACCAGACGCGCCAATAGTGCGCGCTTCTCGAGCTTTTCCCGCGGCTCCCTGCCCCCGTCCACGCTGATGCCCAAGGTGCATGCCTGCACCAGATGCACAAACTCGATGGTCCCCGTGCAGCAGTCGTCACCGGCCCGGTCCCAGAGTGCCGCCTGGAGCCGATTCCGCAGGTCGATATCCTCCACTCCTTCCAATTCGCCCGACACGGGACACCCATACACGTCCTTGTTGTCACCACGCACACAGGAAGAAATGCGCCGCAGTAGGCTACGCGACTGTGGATCACAGCACCAACAGCGCTCACTACGCCCATGCACCCGTCGTGTCGTTGCTGCTGTTGCTGCTGTATCTGTTGCTGCGCTCGAATGCCCATGCCCCGGGGGGCCACCACGAGGCGTACTATCTGTCACCGGCGCCCCGTGGTAAAAGCCTAGCAGCATAGTGACTGCCGTACCGTCACAGATTAGCCTGCGAGGCGAGGTGCCACATACCGGGCATGTAAACTTGTACGGCAAGTCCAGATGAGTGATGAATTTATACCATGCCGCACGGAAGGTTGACACCGAAAATTGATGTTGTCGCGGCGAGACGCTGCTGAGATTCTGCGTAGGCCTGTGGTGTTGCGCCTGTCGCGAGGAACTGGTCCGTGAAGTTGTACATGTGACGGAGGGAGAAGTACGACCGACTGCTGTGGCGAAACAGCCCATCACCAAAGCCGTCATATACGATGTTGCACGCCGACCTGCCACAGCGGCTACGGAGCATGTACTCAGCTGCATGCCGAGGGCCCATGGTGTCCATGCCATATACGTCCACGTCCCGGACGAACACGGGCTCCCTGTACACACAGCTACAGGGACATGCGCCTCCCACCGGCGGTGTGGGCTTGAGGTTCACCTGCGGCCTCACCAGACTGCCGCCACCCACCGATGACGGACGGGGCATGTTGGTTGCCTCCCAGTTGCACATTTTTGATGCACTAGCGACGTCACACGGGTATAGATAGAGGATGGCAGATGCACCACCGTCCGCGTCCTCTCCAATGCTGTTAATGTCACTGTCGCTGTCGTCACCATCACAGTCACGTTAAGTGCTGCTAACACTATCGCCGTCCACCTCCTGCTCCATCACCTCACCGACCTTTGGGTCCCTCTGCGTCACATCATCTGCAAGTGACAGAGGCAGCTCTGCATCAAACGCACGGCGCACGCTCGCCACGTGGATGCACTTGCCACCGTGGCCACTGTGACAGCAACGCAGTCCTTCACGACGCTGTAGACAGCGCACCAGGGTGCCGTCCAGGGTGTCATCTTCCAGCCAGAAGTAGTCCCCGGGCTGCACACTACCTGACGCGGATGGTGCGATGTGAACAACACGACGACCCTCGTCGACCCGCCCGGCAGCCAGGTCACTGGTGTTGAGCTCGGCGGTGTGGTGGCGCACATACTCCAAGTGGAGGCACGACACACCGGTCGTCCCATAGATCTCACAGGAACAACACGGTGATCCCGCTCCTGTGAGTCGCACCTGTGATGGCAGATATGTACACGGCCAACAAAGACATTCAAGCTCCTTGACATGGTTACCTAGTTGATGGGTCCTGGGTTCTCTCGATACACTGGGCACCACAACCCTTTTCACCATGTGCAGTTCACCATTGTACCCCCATCGGCCGACCACAGAACCTCACGACTTACCACGGCTGGACGTCGAACCGCGCAGGCGGTATCGAAGTCGTAGTCCGGCATGGCCCAGAGCCAGTCTTGCAGGCAGACCAGGTACGCGTCACACGAACAGTTCCGCATGAATACACTATACCACAAGATGCCTCCGACGGGCAGCGTGGAGACGCACGCAGCTGTCGGATGTAGGACTGGCTGTGATTGGAAACATGCTGGCTCCGGTATGCCGAAGATCCTGTGGATGCCACGAGGATGTTACCCTTATGATGATACACCAAGCATGTACCAGTTCCCAATTGGCAACCCCCGTGTTCACCCCCCGTGTTCACCCCCCGTGTTCATCCCCCGTGTTCATCCCCCGTGTTCACCCCCCGTGTTCACCCCCCGTGTTCACCCCCCGTGTTCACCCCCCGTGTTCACCCCCCGTGTTCACCCCCCGTGTTCACCCCCCGTGTTCATCCCCCGTGTTCACCCCCCGTGTTCACCCCCCGTGTTCACCCCCCGTGTTCACCCCCCGTGTTCACCCCCCGTGTTCACCCCCCGTGTTCACCCCCCGTGTTCACACCCCGTGTTCATCCATGACACACCTTTCGAAGTATTGAACCCAGGTATGGCTGGTGAAGACACTCTGCGCGAGCTGCCCTCCGAGGTAGGTCTTAGTGGCGCCTCTGGCGTCCGCAGAGAAGAAATATGCAAGGAATGGCACTCGGGCAGCCCGCGGGCCCCCCGCGTAGTTTTCCACGTTACTTGCATATCGTGTCCAGCGCCGCGCCTGGCTGCGTTTCGAGTCACAGGCTTTGCTGACCTTGCCCGTGCTTTCTGAAATAAGCACCTCAAAATCCTGCTGGCCCCCAAACAGACACTGCGATACTAACTGCCTAGCAGGGTTCGACACTGACCTTCCTGAAACTTGCGGGCTCCCCCGTACCTCCCAAATTTTCCTTACGGAGGGGCCCCCGTACCAGGCTCCTGTACCGGCCGAAAACCTTACGGGGGCCCCCGTAACCCCCGCAAAACCTTTACGGGGGCACTGTCCTTGGCTGAAACGCTGTGGAAAGTGACGCGTTGCATTTTTTTGCCCTGTACATCGCTATTTTCGTTATTTTCTCGTGAACCATTACACTCGGGGACACGGCTCACTCAGTGAAAGCCAAGCGCCTTGGCCGCCGCGGCCGCCCATCCCTTCTGCTCCTCTTTCTCGTCCTCCTCCTCCTCCTCCTCATCCTCGTCCTCCTCCTCCTCCTCCTCATCATCATCATCAAAATCCTCAGGATGTTACAGACCAGAAGTTATAAAAGTATTATGAAAAGTTTAGTTAAATATTGCAATATGAATTATGTCTGCCAAGTGTGTGGCCTTATCCTTTATATGGTCAAAGGGTACTACAACCTTGCACGGCAGTCGGCAATCGGTCCGTCCTCTCCCTTACGGGGGACTTTACGGGCCTCGTACGGCCTCTTATAAATCCTTAAAATCCTTACGGGGGCCCCCGTAACCGGCCTTCGGCCGGTCCGGGGGCGGCCCCGTACGGGGCGCTTCGCGCCCCAAAATCCTTACGGGAGCCACCGAAAAGTCCTACGGGCCCTTACGGGGATACCGAAAAAAGGCCAAAAACTTACGGGCCCCGTACGGGGTGTCGAACCCTGCTGCCTAGTGAACCCCAACAACCGGGTATCCCAGTCGGGAGCACCCTGAAGGTGCTGAGATATGTAGACACTGACTTTCTTGGAATCCTTGTCTAGTAGAAAGGCTAACACGATAGTCTCTGGTCCTACTGCGTCTGGCAGCCGCCTTAGCAGCGAGTGGTCTTTGGGTTCCACAAGCTGGCGCGTTGACATCTGACTTAACGCACTTGCACACTTTGACTAAGTGACAAAGAGGTAGCGAGTTATGTGAGCAAATATGAAAGTGACGATGTTTTGGTTTGGCGATACTGCTAATTGGCCTTTGTAGATGCAAAACCTATAACCGATACTGGTGGTATGTGCAAAGACGAGCGCGCCTCACTAACATTAAAATCTTCTTAGTGTACGTCGTGCAAGTAAAGTTGCGACCCACGGGTCAACTCCCAGATACCGTTTAAGTCCCCAAGCAGACAAAACGTTTCACTGCTAATAGTGCGACATAGACACCGCCAAAATGAGCATAAGTTTGGCCACTCCATGCCCTGCCGGATGTGTCTCCCTTCACCTGTCACCAGCATGTCTAACCTAGTCGTGTATCGTGCCATGTTTACGCACTGTACAGGTGCATACATACGCCGCACACGAGCCCACTGCGTTTACCCGCCGTATGTCACTGGACACCACGGCCGGTAACGACAGCCAACTTTATCGCCATGAGAAAGAACCATGCATTCTTATGTTCGAAGGGGGAATCCGAAGCACCGCATACACGACACTAAGACTTCCATAATCCGTCTAGCGGTCATCCGAAACCTTGTACTGCACACTGAGCCAGTCTGGGCGCCCTCCGCGGACCCCATCGGCGGCAGAGTGTCGGAACACGAACACGTGCGTGACTAGATCGCTGTGGACCGTCCCGTTGCGTCAGTGGGATGGATGGACGCACGCGCCGCGGTAGCGCATCTCGCATGGGTCCGGCAACGTCCAGCCACGTGGCGAACGGAATGCGCCCACATGGTAAATGCGGTCGAGCGCGCCCCACAAGACCCTCTGCTGGATGTTGCGGATGCAACCCTCCCTGCACTCCAGGTCCGCGATGCACACCATGTGCACGCCAGGAGTTAGCTGCACCGGGTGGCTCTGGGTGGGCTGCCACCCTGGCATGGATGGCTGCCACCCTGGCATGGATGGCTGCCACCCTGGCATGGATGGCTGCCACCCTGGCATGGATGGCTGCCATCCTGGCATGGATGGCTGCCACCCTGGCATGGATGGCTGCCACCCTGGCATGGATGGCTGCCACCCTGGCATGGATGGCTGCCACCCTGGCATGGATGGCTGCCACCCTGGCATGGATGGCTGCCACCCTGGCATGGATGGCTGCCACCCTGGCATGGATGGCTGCCACCCTGGCATGGATGGCTGCCACCCTGGCATGGATGGCTGCCACCCTGGCATGGATGGCTGCCACCCTGGCATGGATGGCTGCCACCCTGGCATGGATGGCTGCCACTGTGCTATAGACTGCTGCTGTTGTCCCCACCACGCGAGGAAGTCCTGGAACTGACGAAACTGCGCGAACTGCAGGTCATCCAGGCCTGGCGGCTGCTGGTGCTGGTCGGGCCACATGACTGGTAGGGATCTATTCCGCGCTGGTGCCTGAACAACATCCTCACGCTCTCCTGCTGGACCGAGACACCCCAATTTCCAACCCGGCTTCCGACAGTGGAGGCACGAACCGCCACAGCGGTCCGTGCCCTTCCGGTACCTCCGCCTCGTCGATGCCGCGTCGTGCCTGCCCGCGGTGGCGGTGCTTGGCCGGTGTGCTGCATCGCCTGATGGACCTGCGGCTGATGCACCCAACGGACCGACAGGGCACACACCAGCATGCAGCGCCGTGCTACCTGGACGAGGATGAAGGGGAACCGGGGACGCAGGGGAATGCGTTTATATGCTTCAGGAGTTGATGGAGCGTTGGGCAGTAGTCAGTGATTATATGTGTTATGATTGTATGCAACACCTGGCAACAGCAGACACAAGGCATGGCGAGGTGATGCTGCACTGAGCGACACCAACCCACCGTCGCCGTCGTCGTCATCGCCACTACTATCGGACGAGATCTCGATGACAGAGGTTCCTGGCTGGGGCCTGTGTTGCTGTTGCGGTCCCGAGTCGTCCGTGCCTACAGCCAGTAGCAGCAGTCTCAATTATCAAGGGAGATGGCCACCCAGCCACGAACCGGACGAAAGCACATAGCAACCCACCCGTCAGGTCCATGGCGTATCGTCGTGAAGATCCAGTGCCATTGTTGCATGGACGCGAGGGACCACTGGCCGGGCATGGCATGCTCGTGCGGTTACCTCGGTTGGCGGTCATGTCCACGATAAACCTTGGGGCGCCTGCCGCTGGAAGCCTGCCGACGACGCATGATTCACGTTTCGTTACTAAACAAACCAAAAAAACACAAGATGGCACCACACAAAAGGCGCAAATAGGTGCGAACAGGGCACTTGGCGTAACCCGCTGCATGGAGCCCTCCCGCGCAAGCCTGTGCACTGTACTAAGACCTTCCAATGTGCATAAGCACCTGTTCGTGCTCACAGCGGCTCCATTATTCAGTCGGCGGCGTCCCAGTGGGGATTTGACCCGGATTTGCTTGGGAATTCATGAGGTCAAATTCCGGGATTCCGGCCCCGTGAGGCCTGTGTATTCCAAAAGGATGCTTATCATGTATTTTGCATAAACGGACGCGAATCTTTGATCACTAGTGAAGGGGGAACCACATGTTTTTGCAAATTTACCGAAAACACCCGTAAGCTCCCATAGATCCCTCATGCCATTTTTCAGTTGAAGTTTTTCAATTGCAGGACCTCCATCCATAATATTATTTTAGAACCATTTGTAATGTGGCAGTCAGACTGTCGGAAGGCCGTTTGGTGTTTCTCGCGGCTGCTGTGCATGCATCCTTTAGGCAGCTGGCCGCTAGATACCCCTGCACATTCAAAAGCTCTCAAAAGTACAGCAAATCTATAAGGCACCGCACATAACGAGTATCCATTCAGAGCACGAAGAGGCAAGTACCATGTCCCCAGGGGGCAGCGGTTTCGCCGCTGTTTTGGTACTAATAGCCGAATCGAGGATGAAAAACACGTGTTATTGGAATGCCCAGCCTATAATGATATTCGTGCTGAAGAGGGATTTGATCATCAACAGAGCATGTTGGGAGGCCATGAAATGGGAACCAGCACGTCTGGCGAGGATGTTGGAGCGTATGTGGGCTCACCGAAACACAATTACCCCCTTTGGACGCTAGTCTGGGCTGATGTGCAGTGTTTCCTTTCCTCCGTGGCTTTTAGGCGTTGTAGTATTGCCCTTGGGCCTTCGGCTCGTATGGGTAGTCTTACAGGTATGGGGTCACGCACCCCCAACCATGTAACACACACACACACACACACACACACACACACACACACACACACACACACACACACACACACACACACACACACACACACACACACACACACACACACACACACACACGCATGCACAGCAGCTGCGGCTGGGAATAGCGCTAGTTATCCAGCCACCAACCGGTCTTCCGACAGTCTGACTGCCACATTACTAATACTTCTGGCAATATGGATAGAGGTCCTGCAATTGAAAAACTAAACCCAAAAAATGGTATGAGGGTTTCATGGGTTTTGCGGTGTTTTTACGGCCCTACGGCATAAAACGGGGGGTACCCCCCATTAAGCGTAACCCAGGGGGTAGGGGTAGGGGTAGGGGTAAGTGGTTACCCCTGTGGGTTTGTACGAAGGGAGGTGGGTAACCTAACCCGGGGGTAGGGGTAACCCCTTACCGAGGGGTAACAAAGGGGTCGGGGTAATACACTACCGGGGGGTAACAGACAGGGTAACCCATGTTTACAAGTGTTCCTCGACCGAACCTGTCGGGGGCCATATGCAACTGTCAATGGCTTGTAGCACGTCCCTTTCTCGCCTGCCTACATGTGCATGCACAGCTGTCTCATCCGTGTAACCAGACCTCATCTCCGCCCGTTCGCTGCGATAGACCTATACCACCTTCCGAACAATGCCGGGGGTTTGACCAGGCATCGAATTTAGATCCTCTCTCAAAGGTCTCAACGACCTAGACCGACCTTCATTTGCCCCTTCCATTGGGCATTTTAAATTATAAGTGCGCCACCGGAGAGTCGAACCCCGCTCTTTTGCTTGGAAGGCAAATATCCTACCGATGGACTAGTGGCGCAAGACGAATGGACTTAAACATACATGCTCATCGAGAGTTATCATAGGGTTATGACAAGCCGCAGCCGTTCTGTGGCCAACACATACAAAAGGTTTTCATTCCTCGTTTAGCACGTCGTAAGCTAATGCAGTTTCGTTTATGTTGCTGGGCCTTGGAGGCAAACAGAGCACGAAGGGGCAAGTACCATGTCCCCGGGGGGCAGCGGATCTGCCGCTGTTGTGGTACCAATAGCCAAGTCGAGCATGAATAACACGTGTTTATCAGAATGCCCAGCCTGTAATGATATTCGTGCGGAAGAGAGATTCGATCTTCAACGTTAACAGGGCATGTTTGAGGCCATAAAATGGGAGCCAGCACGTCTGGCGAGGATGTTGGAACGTTTTTGTGGGCTCACCGCAACTCAGTTATCCCGTTTGAGCGCTAGTCTGGGTTGATAGTGCGGTGTTTCCCTTTCTCCGTGGCTTTTAGGCTTCAGGTATTGCCCTTGGGCCTTCGGCTCGTATGGGTCGTTTTACAGGTATGGGGTCACGCACCCCCCAACCTTGTTGTTGTTGTTGTTACGTTATTGCATGGTCGTGGGTGCGTTCCCCGTACCTGCAAACCACCCTAATACGAGTCGAGGGCTCAAGGGCTTCCACATCGCCTATAAGCACCATCCTGCCTCGCACTTCAAACGAAACAAGTGATGAAGGATACTAACGACCAAAGGGAACGATAGAGTTGCGGTGGGACCATATACGTTCCAGCATCCTTGCCAGACGTTCAGGTTCCCACTTCATAGCGTCCTTCATGTGGTCGAAGCGTGGGAAATCCATATCAGATCTGATTTTGTCGTACACACCGGACAGTCCAGCAAAATGTGCGTCTCATCTTCAATATGGCCATCAGTGCCGCAGCAAGGGCATACTCGCTCCTCCCTAGGTATATAACGCCGTCCCTAACGCCTTACGCGCTCTGTTAGCCGCCAATGCCCAACAGCAAAGCCTAAACTGCATAAGCTTGCGATTCGCTGAACGCGGGATAAACATTGTGATATGCGGGAGCACTTCCTTCCTGCCCGCTTGGTCGGCCGCCAGACCCATCCAATTCTCATACTTCGCAATGTGAATTCCTGGTTGCTTGCCGTCTGACGGGTACACGTCTGGCTGGACATCTAAACGCGTATGCTTCCAACCACTCATTAATCGGTCCTTGAACTCCAAAACCACACCTTCTGGCATTGGCCTGTTCATCAGCCACTCCACTCGTTCGTCTACCTCGTGTAGCCCTTGCGCGCCATCTTTCCATACGTGGTGCCCAGAAAACATAGGAAACGGAGTAGTAGTGTCCCCCATCCGGCCCCTTCGGGGTTGGAGAGGGACTCTGCGACCTCCTGTCTCAAAACTTGGTGTGCCACAGACCCACGCTGTAAACGGACACGGTTCCAAAACCTCACCACCTGCTTGAAAACGTGGTAGTGTAGGGGTAGCTGCGACAGCTCTGCGAACAGGAGGCGGTGTGTTGGTCTGGCAGCTCCTACAATTTGCCGCATGAAAGATATCTGAAGCTGCACTGCTCTGTCCTTTAGGCATGCCTCGAAGGGCCCCTCCGCAAAGTTACTCGTATCACTCCGCCTCCTGAGCCTGTCCAAGACCTCAGCTAGCATAAACGGCCCCCACGCTTGACAACCATACAACAGCATTGCTCGTACCTGCGTATCGAAACACCGCATCCTCACACCTGGGGCGAACAACTTTAGCTTATCTAATTTTGCACTCAACGCGAACATAGCTGCTCTAGCTGTGTCATACAACTGCTGACGGCAGGCCCAGAACTGCCGTTCCGGCCCATACACTAACCCCAGATATCGTGCACTATCCTTAGCCGGTATGGCCTCTCCAGCCAGCCTGAGCTCATCAGAACGATGCTTGGACAGCACTTCTAGTATCGCTGTCGCTTGCAAAATCGAGGCGTTCACATTTCGACACATTTGGGCGCATCCCAAAATCATCACAGAACATGTCCACAATGTTGAGCAGCTCCCCCATGCGTCCCGGTGTTGTTGCCAGAAGACTAACATCATCGGCATAGAGGAGGATGGACACTCGCTCATTTCCAACCTCCGGTGCATCCTCTGGCCGTGCCCCGGTGTTAACACCGTCGTGCATATCGATGACGTCCGCGAGAGTTTCAATGTAGAGTCCAAAAAGCTCGGTTCATAATGGACAGCCTTGTTTCACACCCTATTTTGACTCAAATTCACCTCCAGCCTTGCCATTCGTCTTGATGACCATTGTAACCTTGTCATACGCCCGCATCAGCGACCGCAGCATGGACCCTTCAACCCCTCTCTCTTGCAAACGAAGCCACATTATCTCCCGCGGCACCTTGTCAAACGCCTCCTCAAAGTCAATTTGCACAATGATTAACGGCCGCTGTCCCGGTTGGCTATGCCTAGCAGTAAGGTACTGCTTGGCAAAGAGATGATGTGTAGTACCGAATCCTCTCCTGAAACTCGCTTGGCCTCGGTGCCTAAGTGAGAGCGTCTCCCCCGTGCGAACGAGCCTATCCAGGAGGACCAGCGCGTAGCATTTCGCCAAGGCGCCCCCTACTGCTATGCCCCGGTAGTTACTCGGCATGCTGGGATCCCCCTTCTTGTAAATTGGGATGAGGACGGTAGTTGTAAACTGCCGTGGAAAGTCCCCAGTCGCCCTGGTATGTTCCAAACGCACGTGCAGTACCGGAACAAGCTGATTCACTTCCCCCCGTCGCCTGCCCCTACCACTACCCGACGCGGAGCCTTCCTCTTCTCGAGGCAAACGCGCATAGCGGTAACATTCCGACGGCGCTACTTCCAAACCTGGTGCCTTACTGTTAGGCAGCCGGTCAACAGCACGTGCGACTTCCTCCAGCGTGAGGGGGGGTCTAGGATTTCTGCTGCCTTCGCAGTCCTGCCCAAAACCGAGTGGGATGACCGCCATGCCTGCCCCTCTAGGGGCTGCCCAAAGTTAATGAAGTTCAAAAGCCGGTCCGCACCATGAGAGCTTTTGAATGGGCAGGGGTGTCTAGCTGCCCGCTGCCTAAAGGATGCATGCACAGCAGCTGCGGCTGGGAAAAGCGCTAGTTATCCAGCAACCAACCGGTCTTCCGACAGTCTGACTGCCACATTACTAATACTTCTGGCAATATGGACAGAGGTCCTGCAAATTGAAAAACTAAACCCAAAAAATGGCATGAGGGTTTCATGGGTTTTGTGGTGTTTTTACGGCCCTGCGGCATAAAACGGGGGGTACCCCCCCATTAAGCGTAACCCAGGGGGTAGGGGTAAGTGGTTACCCCTGTGGGTTTGTACGAAGGGAGGTGGGTAACCTAACCCCGGGGTAGGGATAACCCCTTACCGAGGGGTAACAAAGGGGTCAGGGTAATACACTACCGGGGGGTAACAGACAAGGGTAACCCATGTTTACAAGTGTTCCTCGACCGAACCTGTCGGGGGCCGTATGCTGCTGTCAATGGCTTGTAGCACGTCCCTTTCTCGCCTGCCTACACGTGCATGCACAGCTGTCTCATCCGTCCATGTGAGCACATATGCCCCTGTCTCGCCTGTCTAAGTGTTGATGTTGTTACAGGGTGGTATAGCTTCACCAGTGGCCTCCTTCCCGAGGCGATTCCCTACTCTCCCCTGCGAGAGGGGCACCCTAATCCGTTCACCCCATCCGACTTCAGAATGTATTCGTTGGGTTCAGCAACTCACTACCAGCGTCCAACCAAATCTAGCGGATCAATGGCGCCTCAACTTAGTTCCTGGTCAGCTCACAAGTTGATATTATCACGTCCACCATCGTCCACAAGATGGGGGGCCACCTCCCATTTCATCAACCCCCAAACACCCGCGGAGTCGGCAGGCGGATTTGATGTCGGTCACTCCGGGAGCAGAAGTTAGGCCTTAACCTTTGCCAGCCGCCTGCCACTTCCATCCATGCCTGACGCGCCTGTCTACACATGCAAACATACATGTCCACCGTGTTGACTGGTTGCTGAGTAGGCCTCTCTCCGAAGGAGCGGTGATAACGGCAGTAAGGGAGCGTTTGATGAGCGGCTGGGACCATGCGGGGACCATGCGCGTCTTGGCAGAGGAGTATCCATCAGATGGGAAGCAAATTACAAGTGCCGCACGAGTGCCTTTAAAACCCTAAGTTAACGATCTAGTCCGACTAGGGGTTGGTCGTAAGGAATAGGCCCCCCAAAACACATTTTCTTTGTGCGCCACCGGGGAGTCGAACCCCGTTCTTTTGCTTGGAAGGCAAATATCCTACCGATGGACTAGTGGCGCAAGACGAATGGACTTAGACATACATGCAGATGAGAGTTATCATAGGCTTATGAGCCGCAGCCGTTATGTGGCCAACACATGCAAAAGAATTTTCATTCCTCGTTTAGCACGTCGTAAGCTAATGCAGTTTCGTTTATGTTGCTGGGCCTTGGAGGCAAACAGAGCACGAAGGGGCAAGTACCATGTCCCAGCACGTCTGGCGAGGATGTTGGAACGTTTTTGTGGGCTCACCGCAACTCCGTTATCCCGTTGGGGCGCTAGTCTGGGTTGATAGTGCGGTGTTTCCCTTTCTCCGTGGCTTTTAGGCTTTAGGTATTGCCCTTGGGCCTTCGGCTCGTATGGGTCGTTTTACAGGTATGGGGTCACGCACCCCCAACCA